AACTGTTACACAAACTCTTCCCATACTCTGACCTGCTTCAAGAAAAAATTCATTCGAATCTCGAATTATCCAAGCCATTCCAGATGGAGTGCCATCGTTCTTGAACATGCAATCATAATTGCATTTAACAAAATCTGGTTTTAGTCTTTTCCAATGAGAGCTATTCCAAAACTCCCTTGAAATAGTCGTTGTATTGCACTGCATCCTTTCATGATTACATGCTAACCACTCTCCTGCTTCTTGTTCTACTTTTTGACAATCTTGTTGCCAAAAACTATCCTGTTTTTGATATACTAGAAGATTTATACTCTTCCAAATCCATCACAAAATCCATAATCGTAGTTGTCTCGTCATTGTCGTTAAGTTCCGATCATTATAAGTAGCAATGATTGTCTTGATTTTGTCAGAAACCAAACTTGATGGACCTAGAGAACTCGGATCTAGAATGTTGAAACTCCTCCATATAGCTTGAACATAATCATTATTGAAGAAAATATGATCAGTTGTTTCCTCTTCTTTATCGTATCTTGTGCATAAATATAATTTCTTTCTCAAAAAAAAAAGAACAATCCCATAATTATCTTAGAGGATGTGATTAGGGAAAGTCACCACAAACGTACAAGCAAATAAGTTTATTGCTAATGCTAAAGGCCTAAAGCTAAGAGAATGTACATGTGTTTCACCTGGGACCAATGGTCTACCTCATAAGACGCAAAAACGACAGCGTATAACAAACCTTGTAGAAGTTAGTTTTTTGCAGTTGAGACACCTTTCCCGGTTCTGGTTAACCGAAATGGGAATCCCCACACACAAAAACGACATCGTATCATATTCGCGCACGTTCTTAAACTACCATGTCTTTTTATGGTCGACGTCAAACAAAAAAAGACAACTTTACTCGCCACGTGTCGAATAATTGAAGCTTTCTGAGGAGGATAACCAGACCTCGGAGGTTCCGGCCAGAAACGACGTGGAGACGAAGCGAGCAGGAGAAATAATTCAGAATCCTAAATCGGAAAGAGAAAGTCAGATCCTACGAGTTTCTAGAGATTGACCATGTCTAAGGTGGAAGACGAGCCACGTGCTTCCGTTCAAGGTGGATGCGACGACGAGGCGCATCGCCGGGTTGTAATCGGCGGGAACGGTACAATCGCCGGATCTGTCACCGGAGAAGGTGGATTTGTCTCGGCTGAGAAGCCGATTCATGAAGCTAGGTATGAGAGTCGTGTTGCAAAATTGTTGTTGATGCGAAATGTTTTCGTCTGTGTTCCCTTTTGATTAGAGAGTCTAGTTGTGGGAATTTTTGTGTGGATACCAACAAAACTATGGATCAACATTTCGATCTGCTTTTATATACAGTATTCGGATGCATGATATAAAAAGAGTGGATTTAAGGATTCTTTTTAGTTACTATTTAGGGAAAGTCATATTTCTGTGAGGAATTCAATTTCTTCTTCGCTAGGCCTAGAACATTGGCTTCCACTTGTTATGCTTCAAACACCTTCATGCATACATGAGATTATGGAGACACCTTTGTCATGTTTAACTAGTGTGGACGTTGCCTGTTTCTGCCGATAATTGGATGATTACTGCTTAATTGATTGCTTGAATCACTAACCGAGGTGAATCACTACAATCACTAAATGACATTCATCATAATCATCTCTTGCCTTTATGTTTGGTTGCCTATATTCTATAGTCTATCTTTATATAGTGTAGTACAAGTTTAATGGATCTTCTTCTGCTATTGAAGGTCCAAGGAGATTCCCTCCTCTGAGCCAAATGCTTCAACTGCCTTTCCAACTCAACTTACTATATTCTTTGGTGGGAATGTTAGTGTGTTTGAAGGAATTCCAACAGAAAAGGTTAGTCCATTAGAGCAAATTCTGTTTTTGTTTCGTCTGAAAAAGCTCAAGTCTCATGTTCTCAAGGTGATTCACACTTGTAGATTCAAGAAATTCTCCGTATTGCTACTGCTGCTGCTAAATCCGCCGAGACAAAGAATTCTACCAACATTAGTCCTGTCCCATCTCCGGCGCTGAACAGAGCTCCTTCTTTCTCAAGCACATCTACTGTTGCTTCACCAGCTGCACAGTCGTTTCCCATGCAGCCAATGTCGTTTTGCAGATCCGCGGCTGGTAAGTATTTGATTCAACTAGGTACAGTAATCTTCAAACATTGAATGTGGACATTCCCATTAGTTTTTGATTATTCTGTCTGCCTATCCAGATCTACCAATCGCAAGGAGACATTCACTTCAACGATTCCTCGAGAAGAGACGGGACAGGTATGCATCCTTTATAACTACACTCCATCCTTCTGTATTTCCCTGGAACTCAAATCTGAGCTGTTTCAATACTTGCTTATATACCTCAGGGACTTGTAAACACAGATTGCATCTAAACGTTTTTACCTTGAGATTGCATCTAAACGGCAACATTGACCTTATTTATTTACAGATTGGTCAACAAAAACCCTTACCCTGCTTCAGACATCAAGAAGAAAGATGTCCAAACAGACAACAATGCCTCTATCAAGGAGGAATATCCGACTGTTTAGCAAAAGATCAACCTCAATGCTAAGTAAAACGTTTATGTCAATATGGTTATTATGATAATGTATCATATATGCTGCTGTGTGTTGTATGATAGTGTATGTATAGGTTTGTTAGACAAACCAATGATATCTTTGCATGTCTGGAGTGGCCAGGCATGTTTACCATTTTACATTTCCTCTGGTGATGATGAAGATAGAGGATCATCTACTGAAGACCAAACTATTGTGGTTTTTATTAGAAACATTGTACTAGAGTTTATATCTAACTAATAACTCTTGTATGCTATGTTATTGAACTTATTATTTCTTCAAGACACATTTTGTGTGCAGTAAATTAAGGAAGTGTGTGTTGTTATAAGCTTTCATACAAAACAGAGCGAGTTTATGTAAAAATACGATTAATATCGATGAACAACAAATGGGAATGAAACAATGTAGTGTCATTAAATCTAAACGTACATATATTCACCTCCGCGGACAGCATTCTCTGCGCCTTTCCG